GACAAGTTAAGAACTCCTTCCTACCTTAGACTAATCTTGCGGAGGCCTATCTAGTTTCCAGTGGTTGGGTTCCCATGAAGAAGAAATTGAAAATAAATTATTTGTGGTCCATATAAAAATTCTTCCATATAAAAATTGTTCTTCTTTGAAGGTGGGTCACATTTCTACCATAGCCAAAAAAATAGGGTAATAGTACCATGAATTATTATAACATTCTGATGTTCTGTTTTGTTTTAGCTACTGTGCAACAAAATGAGAAAAATAAAGGCAACATAAAGTTTCAAAAAGCTAAACATATTTTTTATTTTACAGTTATGCTCTTCCTACAACTTTAGATATTAAATGTCCTTTATTTTATGAGATAAAAGTGAAGGGAGACATTTTATAAAAAAATCTTTACTATAGCAAAATAACCGTTGTCAACAGCTTATTCAATTATATGTGTAATTTTACTTATCCATAAAATTCAAGTCAGATACCCATTGATTTAGGGAACTCCATACAATTAAAATTATTTCTGAGAAACTAACTTGATTAAAAGAAGTTCAGCCCAAAAAGAAACCACTTCTGATATATTTCTGAATTTCCCTAAAAAGTCATCCACAAAACGAAACAAAACATCTCAAAGGTAGCGGGGTTTCAGGCATACATTTCAGTGCATTTGTTAAAACGTTTTACATTTGGTATTTGCATACAACTGCCCTCTTCCAATGTGTTGATATTTCCTGCTTTTAAATGGGCCCTTAGGGACTTAAGTTAGTGCACTAGGTCAACAGACATTCACAGAGTCCCTAATTCGTGCAAGGAACTCTTATTAGGCGCCTGAAAACAGTCTGGAGAGCTATCTTGCCTTTCTGTCTCGGGTCAAAGGTCACCTGCCACTTTGAGGACACTGCCCCCTCCCTCAGTAAGGAAGAACGAAAGCCGCCCTTGGGGCTGTGCTCTCCTAGCAGGGCCTACATACCTCACTTTATGTGACTGCTTATCTCCCTCACCTGAGGGAATTATTCCAAAGCAAACACTATGTTATTCAGTATCATATTCTTACCACAGTGTATGGCTAGCTGGGGGAATCGGTATAAATTAGTGGAATAAATATATTTTACAGAAGAGGAAACCAAAGCTCAGAGAAAGAATATGAAGTGTCCAACATCACACAGCTAATAAATAAGTAGCTCCCTCCCAGTCTTAAAAAGCCTCACCAGAGCTCTCTGCTATTCCGCCATGCCACATCCTACATGCAGACAGGGTGAGGGAGGAAAAGATCTTAGATGCCCTTCTAGAGCCTCATATTGGACATGTCCAAAAGTCCCTCCTGCTTGAAAAAAATAAATAAAAATCTGGTCCCTGTCCAGTATTGTATCTCTGTAAATCACACGCCCAGTTGCTCAAGGAAAAACTCAAGTCATCCTGACTCCCTCTTCTTCCTATTCCCACAACTAATCAACAATCTTATCCATTATAAGGTTCAAATTTAGCATTTGTCCAATGTCTTTTCTTCTCTTCAAACCCTCTGCCACCACCCTAGATCTAAGCCACCATCATCCCTCATGTAGACCACAAAAATGACTTGCTACTTGGTCTCCATACATTGACTTTGGCCAATACTCTCCTCCAATCTCTTCTCCACTTAACAGCTCAGGTGATGTTTTTAATATTATTCTACGTATGTCATTCATCCAGCAACTTAAAAACCTTTACTAGGTTCCATTGCTTTTAGGATAAATACAAAATTCACCTGTGGTTTGGAAAACTCCCACTCTCTAGCCTCTGCCCACCTCTCCAGCCTCATTCTTCTCCATTCTGGTATCTCTCCCCTTTCTCTGACCCCACATCCTGCTGTCCTCCTTTCAAATCCCCATATTCACCACTTTTCCCTCTGTACTGTGAACATGCAGTTCCCTCTGTCAAAAACCCTCTTGGTCTCTCTTTAAAAACTTCCCATTACCATCCTAACTTATTTCCACTCACTCTTCAAGTCCCTTGAAATGTCACTTACACAGAAGAGGAAACCAAAGCTCAGAGAAAGAATATGAAGTGTCCAACATCACACAGCTAATAAATAAGTAGCTCCCAGTCTTAAAAAGCCTGATACCACTGGACAGGGAAGAGTACCAGTTAGGCACTTCTATTCCACCTTGTAGTACATCCCCCTTTGGCAGTAATATTCACCACACTGGCAGTTACTTATCCAATGACTGTCTACCCTAACAGAATATAAACTCCATGAAGGCAGGGGAGGTTTACCCTTTTCACTGATGTATCCACAGTCCTTAGAACACAGTAGCTGCTCAGTTAGTATTTGTTGGCAGAATAACAGGCTGGGACAGGACTGTAGCCAGCTACGACATGAGGCCAAGTTACCGAAAAGGCAAGGATCATTGTCCACTTGCAAATATGTAAAATAAGGCAGAAAGAAATGCGTAGCTATTCAAGGTCACAGAGATAGCAATGATGGGGCCAAATCTAACCCATTATTCAGCTCATTCCTCCTCCCAGAACACTAAGTGTAGGTGGGGGAGGGAGCATCTTAGAAGGAAATTAGGAATGAGGTGGTGAGAGAGGTCTCCTACGACGGCTTCTGAGTCTGCCAGTCACACTAGTTGTCTGCAGGTGGACAGTAGTTAGACTTTCCATGCCTAGAGAAGCACTGATGTTAAACGAACGCCACCACCACCACACCCTTCTCCTTAAAAGGGGGGTATAAAATAACAAACTTCTTTCATGCAGAAAGGAGAAGAAACTACAGGAGGGAAAGCTGTTGCCACATCAAGTGTCTTCAAATAAACAAACGGGCCTTTTGGCCACCTGGATTGCTCCTCAGCAATCAACAGCAGGTGGGGGTGGGGGTTGTTAATAGGACAACAGCCTTCCTACCACTTACTGAAGCAGGGATAAGAAAAGAAAAATATATTAAATGAGGCAGAAGTCATTTGAAATCTATTTATTCTTTGGGAATTATGAGATTATTTCATGTGAAGCATTTCAAAATCTTGCTAACCCGCTGGCAGTTCTTAATACAGGTACCAATGAAAGGAATAGGGGACATGAGCTCAGCTGCAACATTTTATTGTCCACATACTGCCAGGGCTAAATTATGTCTGTCACAGAAGCCACCAACCAGCCCAAGGAGTCAGGCTCACTGCCACTCATCCTGCCTAGCACCAACTGCAAGAGAAAGAGAAGGCAAAGTCTTTGAAGAGATTGCAGAATAAATATGTACAGTCTATCCACCCTGGGGTTCCTGGGGGAGAGGCAGGGTAGAAGTGGGGAGGGCATTCTGAGACTGGAAAGAGACTTACTTAAAGAGAAGAGATGTACTGGTGGTAATAGAGATTTGGAAACAGAGAGAAAAAAAATGAGAATTACAAGTGGAAACACAGGGAAAGAAGCTGAAAGAACTTCAAGAGTCAGTAGAAGGTAGGAAAAGGAAGGTACAGAGGTAAAGGGTAGGGTACCCAGAAGAGTAGACAGGAAGCAATAGAGAGAGAAAGAAGCAAAGCCAGGCGGTCCATTTTTTCCCAAATTCAAAAGCTGCTCATTGCATCCCAATAACTCACTCCACTACAAAGCCCACACAATGGACTGTCCTTTGCATTCAGTAACTAGCAACACTTGACCAAGCTTCACCCAGCTGCAACTTTAGAGACCTAAGGGTCTGAATTAAAAATGAACAAAATTGGCTCACCAGCAAAAGACAACTAGTAATGATTTTTTCCTTAATGCCTGACTTGGCCACTAAAAGGTTTAGTCTTTTAGAGTTAAGCATAAAATACTCAAGCATTTGATATTCCAAGAGGGGGTGTGGTTGTCCCCAGGTCCCTTCATTTCCAAGGTTGTACATCGCTCGGCTAAGACTGGTCCCATCTGTTCTGGAGTCAGACAGCTGTTTATCTCAAAGGAACATTTATTGCACTAATCATCCTAGTAACTCTTACAAGAAGAAAGCCAACAGGCAAGTCAGAATGGTTTCTGTGCTGTGAAATGTGCCAGTTCGTTTAAAAACAAAAAACAAAAACCACCACTAAGCTATCTATGCTCCTTGATTTCCTGGCCAGGATCCCTCTTCCATGGGTATCTTTCAGTAAAGGTAAATGAAGGTTAACAGTGCTTTTTAACTCTCCCTTTCCCTAATGCGTTAAAATGAACCCGGGTTTCCCTAATGATCCCTTCTCCAAACCGTTATTTGTGACTGGTGACTGTGCCTCAGGAATAGGCAGCTCATTATGGTATCACTGTCAGTGGCAAGGAGCCTATTGCAATGTAATTTAAACACTCACACAAGCACAAATCTGTCGGCTCCACTTCCAAATAATCCTGAAATCCTGCAGTCAGAAGAAAAAAACCACTTAACAAAAATGCTGTTTCTAGCAGCCTAAGAGAAGCTTCCCCAGACACGTGAAATGTTTCTGACTGGCACGGAGTGCACCATTAAAGGACGCTGTCACCTCAAATCAGCAGAAAAAGCAAGACAAACGATATAGACACACACGCATAAAATAGAGCCCCACAAAACTTAACCTATTCAGAAGCACGCTCATCTTAAAAATGAATAGTGTGTGCTCGCCCAAGCAACATAGAGATGTTTCAAAGTAGTGCGACCACATTAAATCACTGTCTCCATTTCTCCCCACGCATCTCCCCTTCCCACTCAAACCTCAGCACTCGGGCCGTATGTGACAGGGCTGCAGTCCCCCACCTCTGCCTCCTGATTTTCCAAGAGCACTGCCCAAGAGCCTCCCCAGCCCAGCCCCCTCTCCCAGCCCCAGAAAGGTTGAGGGGAGTTGCAACTAGGGAATTGGCAGGAATCGGTCCTCCGGCGGGATTAGGTTGCTGGAGTTGTTCTTTGCAGTGACCCAAATTGCACAGAGCTTTTCGTTTAGTAGCGCTTGCGAGCACCTCCCCAATCCTCCCGCCCCCATCTTCCCAGAAGAAAGCCGTGAGAATTAAGCGGGAGGAATAACTTGGTAGAACCAATTGAATAAATCACTTCAACTCACCTGGTTTGGGATTTTTCTCCCCACCCCAGACATAAACAGAAATGATGTGCGAATGAGTCACGCACGCAAGGGAAGGTGTTGCGATGTCCTAAGTCCAAGGGCTGGAGTCCGTCCGTTCCCGGAGCTGCCGCTACTCTTAGCTCAGCTGGAGCGAGCGGCAGTCGCCAGCCAGCGGCAGCAGGGGGTGGATAGACCGTGCACAATGAATGCGGTGGGGCTTTGGCAATGACATCATCCCTCTGCCCGAAAGGCCCCAATAGCCATGCTCAGGAGCGGTGCATTCTGGGAATTGTAGGGCTCCTAGAGCTTGGCGGGACACCGAGACGTTCGCCAGAACTACAATGTCCAAAATGCTCCAACGTCGGACGCTCCCGGGGCTGGCGGCAGGAGCGGAGGGGACTCGGCCGCCATGTTAGGAGTTCCGGGACGACTCCGCGGAGCCCTGTTGAGGTTTTAGGGCGCGCGGGAGCCGAGTGATGGTGCAGTAGGGGCGGTGAGGTGGGAGGACAAGTTGGTTGGAGAGGTTAGGGCCCGAACCTAGGAACTGGAGGGCGGAGGTGTCATGTGCGGACAGATGTAGGACGCCTCCGGCTGGAGGTGGTATCAAAAGTCCGAATATTCCTGGGCCTCGCGGCCCTGCAGGGCTTGCCTAGGCCTCTTAAGTCTTCTCCATTTTCTAAGAGGCTCGTTTACTTCTGGGCGTAGAGCGTCATTTAGACTCGCTAACAGGATGGTCGGGACGGCTGGTGTCTTTGTTGGGATGCGGGGACTCAGACGGCGACCCTCTCGCCTTTCTTTGGTCAGAGACGCCCACTTCCACCCATGGAATTAGGCTACCCTTCCCAAGTTTATTTTTACCTTGTAATTTATTTTCCATCCTCCCTAACCCCTCTGCAAGTCTCCGTCACTGATTTTCGTTCAGGAGTGGTTTGCAAAGGGCCCAATGAAATCGATAATCAGAAGGTAACCAAGCTGGAAGGCACCTTAATTAAGAAAAGATGTGGAGAGGCCTAAAAGAGTTAACACCGATTTGAAATGACATCTTCATGCCAACGAAATAGGAATGTTGAAAGGGGGTATTACTGGTGATAGGCCTGTTGTTGGCAGCTGGCAGTCGATTTTAGAATAACACGGGTTCTTGGATAAACCCAGAGTGTATGCTAAAATACTGCGGAGACACTCCATTATCGTGGATCACCAACTTATTTTAAACTTACATTTAGTATTTAGTTTGTGGCACACCGTATATACGATTATTTGAATGATTTTTTTTTAACTAAGTAACTGAAACCAAAGACACTGGTCTTTATTTTGCCCTTTATCTCGAACTGTATTTTTTTTTTCCAATTATGTTACTAAAACAATGCTGTGTGTTTGTTCTTTTTCAGAGTCTGTCTACACTGTGAAAGATGGGAAATTTCTTCTTCTCCTGAGGGTATCTGAATGGTTAAAAATGCTGATACACTTCCTGCTGGTTTTCTCCCTCTCTTGCACATGATTCTGAAAACAAAATTATTAACTAGTCAACTTGAGTCAGTAAGGGTATGCACTTCACCACTGTTAGGAGTCAATACAATTAACAGCTGTAAATGGACTCTCCTCTTTTATCAAAGAAAGTTTAGGCAAACTGATTAAAAACAAAAACATGATAGAAATAGTCTTTCAGATGTATATATATGCTAACAAAAACAATGATCTACATCATGTTTCTGAGAACAAGTCATCAGATGAAAGTCATTTTTAACAAGGGTAATATGTGTTGGTCTCAGCTGTGAATTGGAAAGGCTCCTAGAAAGTTCTGTTATTCAGAAATAACTTCTTTATAAGTATTAGTGGTATGTATAAGAAAAGGAACAAAATATTTACTATTTTCTTTCTGACCTTCCTATAGAAATGTTTAAAGCTTAGCAGAGATAAAATAGACTGGACAGGTTTTCATTTATCCTTGCTTCAGAGTCAAATTATTTTTAGAGGTTGGTGATACATGCATATGTCTTTACAGATTTACAGTGAAACTTATTCATTGTATAGATAATTCTTTTAAGCACCAACCTCAACTTGAGTTACTATAAAAGATAAATTTGTCTGGGAAAGAAAGCTTAATAGATTGCTTAGAAATCTTGTGTGAGAGAAAACTGTAAAATGCAGTGATTTCTATAATTTGTCATGTGTTTGAGTAGTTTGAAATTTTTCCAGCCTTATCCAATGGACATCTAACTATAAAGAAATGGACATATCTGTTTAACAGCTTTAAAAAGACTCTATGATTTAACCTTAACTTTCAGGGGGAAAAAAAATCCTGTACTCTAGAAATGCCATCTACAAAACTAATATGTGAGGAGTTGGTGATGCCAGCTTCTGAAAGAATAACCTCAGGGTCCCAGAGAAAATACTGGGCTAGGGAAACTGAAAAGTGGAGTTAGGAATGCCTTAGGTAGCTAAAGCAACTACATACTTTTCATCTCTCAAGAGAATTAAGGCATTGATTTATTTATAGGTAGCTCAAAGAATATGAAGTCAGTTGCTGTTAGAGCAAGGGTTTTTTCAACAGGGTTATGTGTCAGGATCACCTATAGAATTCTAAAAATAGCTATTGCCTACTCATCCCCAAGGATTCTTAAAAATACAAGTGAGTGTATGGGGTGGGGTAAAATCATCCTCTACATTCCATATTTGTGTTCATTGTGGTGTGTCACACTAGTAGTAACAAAAGTTTTAGCAAAGATTTGAGGTTTATTACTAAATATAAATGAATTCTGAAAATGTGTAGATGAGGAATTCTCCTGGGGATCAATTTATACATGGTAATTAGGGGTGGTGGAGAGAAAGGGAGGGGAGAAAAGATCCAATTTAGCCTTGAGTATCATGATAGCCTGACTCACCTGGATATTTCTTAAGATTGAAGTTTTAGCCTAAAGTTAAGAAAGTGATGAGACACACATAAGAGCTCAATGCAATGTCAGAATTATGGCAAAGCTATTCAGATATTTAAAAGAAACTATCTACAAAGACAACAGGATAGAATTTTCTGAAAATATTGTTTCCCTTTAATAACTCCTCTCCTTGCCCTAAATCCAAATTTCTTGAATTATTAATATTAGTGTTCTCAATATTTGGGTAAATTATACATGGTATCCTTTTTTAGCTATTTAATAACTCCTCTCCTTGCCCTAAATCCAAATTTCTTGAATTATTAATATTAGTGTTCTCAATATTTGGGTAAATTATACATGGTATCCTTTTTTAGCTCTAAATTCTTTGACTCAATTTCTAAATTTATCTAGTCTCTTTACATTCAAGGTCCTGTAACATTCTTTCATCTACATATGCTGAAGAATAAAGACAGTATCCAGGAGAACAAACGTTTGAAATTAAAGCAGCCCTAAGATTCAAACACTTAACTGGGTTCATCTTTAGAGGAGGGAGGTCCTCTTGGAGATGGTATATGAAGACTGACATTAGTGTTGAAGAGAATATGAGTGGCCTGGATACCAACTGCTTCAGTTGAAATCTGCCTTGAATAGCTTGCTCAGTACCACAGAAATTAGAACATTCTAAGCCTCAGTGATAGTAGCAACCTCTGTAGGGATATGGGGAAATATTGGTGAAGGTTAAACAAAATAATCTATGAATTTAGCTTTTAGCAGAGGATTTTGGAGTATGTAAGTTTGTTATAGCCTGTTTAAGTTTTTTTTAAAAGTCCCAGAAGAGTTAGGGCTCTGAGGATAGGTATTATTACCTTAGATGTACTCTTTCCAATTTAGTAAATTTGTTAGTAAAATCAAGCTTGTTCTAAGTTCTTAGCAAACTACAGTACCATTCCTACCTTTGATTCAGTGATGATACAGGGCAACAATCTATTTTTCAGCTCATACTTCATAAGAAATGCAAAATGTTTGTTTACTGAGTTACTAAGAGATTATGATTGTGCCTGTGGTAGATGAAGTAAAAAAATTTACATACTAACATATTTTGCATATGTACCTGTATACAAGCTTGAAAAAGCCCAACTGTTAGGAAAGTCAGGTCCTGTCTTCACTGAGAATCACTGTAGTTAATTCCCTAAAAGTAATATTCTAAATTATGAAAAATGTTAGAATTGTTTCATACTTTAGAAGGTTCTTAAGTAATGCTTTCATATTCCCTATGAAACTTGAGAGACCATCTGTTCTGTTTGCCTTTTTGTATCTCTTCCAAAATGGAATCATTTTTCTTACCTGCTTCAAAAACAACCAAAAGGTGATGTAGCCCAGCAACCACATAAAATTTATTCTAACCTGGTCACAGAGTTGAGATGAGCAAACTTTTAAAGGGGGAAAAGAAAAACATTTGATGAAAAGACATCTTTTCATACCTCACCTTAGATTGAGTTAAATGTTTTCTAGTGTACATTTCCAGAAGTAGACACAGATAAGCATACCATACAGGCTTCAGAAATTAAGAGTTTAGGGAAGTTCTGCAACTCATCCTGGGAATTGTAATATTTCTTGGTTTGAACATTTTACTTTGAATTAACAATATTTAAGAAATGAAAACATACAATTGCTTCTTTTGTTCATTTGACCTACTGTTGTGTTTGTGACAAATTGGTATCATTTTAGCTGCTGGATTTAATATGCCACTGAAGGTAAATGCAGCAGATACTCCAAGGTCAAGATTTAAAATCCAAATGTCCATAGTTAACGATAAACCAGAAAGATGAGCATTCAATATATTCTATGATTTTTATTTCTCAGTTTTTTAAAAGGTTTGGATGATTAAGGGGCTACTAGAAAACATTCTGTGCAGGAATGAGTATTTGAAGATGAACTTAATCAGATATAAATATGTTCATAAATACAGCCATTTAAGGAAATAGAGATGTGCAATTGTAAGAATTGCACAAGTAGGTACATACTCAATTCTTAGTTTGATAGAGAGTCTGAGTGCTCTCTGAGATTCTCTTCAGAAATCTTTGAGTTTGAACTTGCTATAATGGTTAATCCTCAGTGAGTTGCATCTTAAAATCTTACAGGAAATGTTATCAAAGTCACCCTTCTCACACCTAACTAATGATTTGATAAATTTAGCACATAGGTGTTTACCAAATTGAATAGCCTGTGTACTTGCTTGAGCTACTGCACTGAAAAATAAAACTGACCATAATCCTTGACAAACCTAATTGGTAAATTTTAACACTTTAAGCTCAAAACTCAGTTTTGCTCCTTACCTACCCTCTCCCAAGT